CTTGATTACGTTTTCCATGTATTTAAACCCTGTGTCTTCAGCAGTTCGGTAATAATAACCCAATAACCAGCTGCTGTGATGCCTGTTCATCAAAGAACAAAAGAAAGATCACAATCACCTTTGTAGCTTTAAGGATTCATGTATATTTAATTTAGAATTTAGTGTTTGATAACGGTATTCCATTTCTGTATATTTCCTACTTGCTAAAGTTTACTGTATGTGTAGATTGTTTTAAGTTCACTTAAATTAGAAGTTATTTTTGAAAGTCTAATAAATGTTAAAATTGACAGCTCTCAATTATACTGTAATGTTGAATGGCTATATTTGAAATGAATATTTAAAAACTTAAATATTAGGTTGGATTAATCGTGATTAATATCATTTTTAAAAAAATAATTTTTTTTAAAATCTTTTGACAGCACTATTATGAAATTCAACTAAAGTTATAATTTCTATGTGTAGTTCCTGCCCTTAGATTTATTTTGTTGAAAAGTAGTGCTTTTTTCCACCATTGACTTGCCAGCAACATTCACCTTAAAGGTGTCTCATCACCATGAGAACTGCTGAAGTGGCACAGAAGAGGTTTTACACAATTCCCTCCTCAAAACATCCTCCCTCCTGCAGCCAATATTAATGAGTTTGTGTGTTTGTTTTAGGTGCGAATGGCTCTGAAGAAGGCTGAGAGGGAGCTGGAGTTGAGGAGTGGCTGGGCTCCTCCTGAAGCTCTGCAGAAATGGCTGCAGCTCACACACGAGGTGGAAGTGCAGTACTACAACATTAAGAAACAGCAAGCAGAAAGACAGCTCATAGTGGCTAAAGAAGGGGTGAGACGGTCAAATACTCACAGATTACTAGCTTTAACTGAATATTAAATCTAGTTTGCCTGTTCCACGAGCTGAACATCTAAGTAGTGCTGTTAACTATGATGTTGTGACCACTATAACAGGCAGAAAAAATCAAGAAGAAGAGAGGAACACTCTTTGGGACGTTCCACGTGGCCCACAGCTCTTCACTGGACGATGTTGATCACAAAATCCTCTCAGCCAAGTGAGTCGCTCTTACCATTTTTGGATGTAATGTGCAAGCTGAAATAAAGACCTGTTTTAACCTACACAATTAAAAGTAAAGGTTCCAGAGAGAGTGTTATTGCAGCAATGCTATTAAAGAACCATTTTTGGTTCCCAAAAAACCTTTCAATGAGAAGTCCTTAAAAGAGCCATTTGTTTCTTAATGTGAACTTTTTATTAATTTGAAGAACCTTTAATCCACTATAAAGAATGGAATGGAAAGGTTCCATGGATGTTCTTCATGGAATAATAGATAAGGACCTTTATTTTTAGAGTGTAGAGCAACGAAACCAAACCTCACCTCTCTTTCTCTCTAACTTCTGCAGACAGGCTCTGGGAGAAGTGACCGCTGCTCTGAGAGAAAAGCTTCATCGATGGCAGCAAATTGAGATTCTGACGGGGTTTAATATTGTTAATAACCCTGGCATGTCGTCTCTGGCCTCTGCCCTCAACCTGGACCCTGCTTTCCTGGGCATACGCCCCGCTGTACCCCAACACCTACTGCTATCCGATGACCTAGACGACATGGACGAGGACATACTTTCCCCAGGAACCCTACAATGTGAGTTTATTATGCACACAAATGTGGTACAATGAGTTAAACGTACTTTCATGTTGCTGAATCTGATCATATTCATCTATGTCACAATATAAAGCTTCTCAGCCGTCTATAACCACATTAAAATGATCCAGTGACCAGTTTTCTAACCCTAATACATGGCAATTAAGCTTTCCGTTGAGCTTTGCTTTTCCGTGGTGTGATATCATTGGCTAATGTCCGCAGATGCCGCCTGGCAGATGGATCGGCGAGTGAGCGACCTTTGGCCCGTGGCTTCCGAGAGCCAATCCCTGTGGAAACCAATCCCTTCTGGTTGGCACCACCCCCTTTATTCTCTCAGCCAATGCTAACACAAAGCAAATCTTTCTGTGCCATTCCCACTGCCCATTTAAGACCTTCTAGATGGAAATTGTGTATCCAGCTCTTAAAAAGACACCTTTAAACGTTTTAAAGTGCAGATGTGAAATCAGTGCTGCTCTTTATATTCATCTCAGTGTGGATAAACACCAGAGAATGTAAAATGTTGACCAAAATTTACCAGGTCTATTGCGATCATTATCGTAGATGTTATGAATTAGGAGCCACTGATTCTACGTCTACACTGATGACAACTTAACATCCCAAAATAGCAAGTTTTAAAGTACGGTCACATTTAACGTTGTTTGAAGTTTTGCGGGCTTAATACATTCATTACAACAGGAATTCTCACGATCAAGAATTTTAGCTTGCAGATTTTGCAATAGTTTCAGGCTGTTCGTGAGAATTCGCCACACTGTCCGACAGAAAGCTGCTTTGTTTGAAAATGACGTCTGTGTGAGGTGTGATTTATATATCTCTACACTATTTACCATAGACAGTGGACCTTTTTTGTCCACAAATTTCCATCAAAATGTCACTTGTGTGACCACACTTTATATTGAAGTTGTGCTGCAAAACAATGCTCTGTAGCTAGCTAACCCAAAGTTTTCTTTTTATATATATATATATCTATGTGCTTTCCACACTGAAATAGTTAACCCTGGGTTATTTTTACATTTTTTCTTATTCTGTTGCTGGGTTTCTAGGTTAGTGATTCACAATATTGTCTTTAGCACAGCAACTTGGTGTTAGCATTGAGTTACAATCAATTTGTCAAACTTCTTTTTACAATTTAGTGAGTAAAAATGTGTTAAACCAAGGTTAAAAGTGGCCTTAATCTATGGTTAAAAAAGACGTTAACCCAGTTTTAAAGGGTTAGTTCACCCAAAAATTAAAATGTTGTCATTAATTACTCACCCTCATGTCGTTTCAAACCCGTAAGACCTTCGTTCATTTTCGGAACACAAATTACGATATTTTTGATGGAATCTGAGAGCTGTCTGACCCTGAATAGACAGCAACGCAACTGAAATGTTCCCAAGTCCAGAAACGTAGCAAGGAGATCTGTAAAATAATCCATGTGACATCAACAATTCGTCTCCTCCGCATCACCCTGGTGCCATTTTGGAGAATATCCGCTGGACGTAAACAGCGTAAGCTGTTCTGTGTCAGCTGCGTCACACGGATACGCTGTTTCCGTTCTGAGTGGCAACGTCTCCAAGACACTTCAAGAATCCTACCTACAAAGCTACCTGAAAAACTAGTGCACCTAGGGCAAAAACTTTGTTTTTTTTAACTTTGAGTAAAACTCTTACGTTTTAAACGCAAAGGAAGGTCACACAAAATATTGATTTGATTTAGTTAATAGAAGGTAATTGATAAAAAAAATCTATTTATGACATTATTTTTGAAAGCATCCAAACTTTACAGCATGTTTACACAAGTGCCTAGAACTTTTCACAGCACTGTAGCTTTGCAGGAAGTTTCTTCAAGTGTCTTGGAGACGTTGCCACAGTTCTTCTGGATTTAGTCTGTCTCAGTTTTTTCTGATTCTTCATGTAATCTCAGACGGACTGGATGATGGTGAGATCAGATCTCTGTGTGGAGCACTGGCTGTTGTGAGACTCCTTGTGGATACAAAAATCTCACTGAATTATTACAATAAATAGCAAAAGGAATGTTTGGAAATGTAAACTGATATTTCCTACTGACACACTACAGCAAAAGACAGAAATAACTGACTTAAACCATTTTTTTTGTTGGCGAAAATACTAATGGCCTAAGACTTTTACACAGTGTATTTCAACATGTTTTATGCTAATTAAAACCTCAGGCACACAGTTGCTCATTTAGAATACTCTAAATTTCATTACATCACAACAATGTTCAGCAATTAATTCTTTAAAAATCCTACAATGTGATTTTCTGGATTTTTTTTTTCTCATTTTGTCTGTCATAGTTGAGGTATACCTATGATGAAAATTACAGGCCTCTCTCATCTTTTTAAGTGGGAGAACTTGCACAATTGGTGGCTGACTAAATACTTTTTTGCCCCACTGTATATGTACTGTGGTAGATTTGTTTGCAACAAAGGCAGGCGTTAAACTACCTACATGTAATAAAAATATTACATTAAGAAATGAAAAATTAAATCAAGATTAAATCATGATTGTCTATACTGACGATATTTCTGTTGTTTAGTTTAATTTCTATTGTATAGTTTTAACTAAGCAAAATCAAAATGTAACTGTAGTGTTTTGAATGACCTATAACATTATAATTCATGGGACAGAAACTTGATAAGATTATTTGATTAGACTATCTCTTCCACGTGCATACAGATCTCACAGAGACTGAATGATTTGAATGTCCGCTCACTAATACAGATAAACATCTGTTTGTGTGCCTCTCCTCAGCTCCTAGCCTAATGTCCCTGCGGCCACGACACGGAGACCCCACGTTGAACCTGAGCTCACAGAGGTTGGTAGAAGACAATGAGAGTGAGGCCGGGACCCTGCGGCCCCCCGGCCGCCCCTATGTGCGCCAGGCTCGCAGCCACTCAATCGGCCATGTGGAGTCTCTCCCTATGCCTTCCCTCTCTTCCTCTCTGTCTCATCCCTCCATCGTCTCTACCTCACTCCTGTCTTCCTCCTCCGGCTCTCGTTTTGCTGCGCTGCAGTACCATTCCTCATACTTCACCTCAGTGGAGGCGGTCTCAGGTCTGCCGCCAACAGGGTTCACTGCTTCACGCAGTGATCAGAGGACTCAAAGCATTGGGTACCTCACGCACTGTTTGCTGTGCGCACACACGGCATGTGTAGGGTGTCCATAACCTCCCAGTTATGAATTGATAAATACTGAGCTATTTTCTGTCCTAAACAACAATTTGCTAACAAAGTTCTTTTATTTCATGAAGCTTATCTATTAATTTCATGCTAATTAGTATAAGATATTTTTGTGAATGTAAATTTTGTATCTGTAATACGTTATAATTATAATATATTTACTATATTATAATTATATTATAATTTCACTTGTCATGAACTAACTTTTTAGTTAATAGTTAATCTCCATTTAACTATTTAAATGTAAACACTGTGAGAAACTGAACTAATCCAGCATGAAGTCAATATGATCTGACAGCAGCAGAATACGGTCGTCAGTCCTGTATTTGAGTCCTTAATACGGTTACGTTCACACAGTACGGTTATTTACAGGCGTTGAGCTTGAATTTTGAACTTAAATTTACATTTTGAACTTAAAGGGGTCCTATTATGCTTTTTCACTTTTTCAACTTTAGTTCGTTTTCAAAAGGAGATTTTATTTAACAGAAATCACTTTTCAAAAACTACAACGAACGACTCGTTTGGACTACAACGCATATTTCCCGGGATTTGTGATATCACAAATATCGAATGGGACGAGACCTGGTTGAGCTGCACTAGAGAAGGCAACGAGTGTTATCACTATGCCAATCACAGCACACACTGGCCCAGCTAACCAATCACAGCACATTTCGTATTTCAGAAGGCAGGCCTTCATTTGATACAGGAACTATTCGAGCCGTTCATGCCAGACTGGGGAGAGAGAGGTGTTGTAATAATGTAAAATATGTGAAAAAGAGTGTTTTTCGAACAACCTAGTATGAGAGCCTGTTTTAGTACACCCCCAAAACAAAATCAAGACTTTGTAAAAGAGCATAATAGCACCCCTTTAAGTTCCATCCAGGGTTAAGTTAATTAAAACTAAAACCAAAACCATCTTTGGTTCTTGAAAATAAAATAAATGTAAACTGAAAGACTGACAGATAGACAGATAGATAGATATACTATAATAAAGAAAAATTAAATAAAAAGTAATAAGAAATATAAAATAAAATAAAAAAAATTTTTTTAAACAATAACTAATAAAATGACAAAACACAATAAAAGTAATTAAATGTCAATTAAAATGAAAACAGAAAATACAATAACAAAAAATAAAGATATTGAATTGAGTGTCTCAATGATACTAAAATAGCACTGGTTCTGCCTCTGGGGAAATAAAAAAAATTCAGGAGGTGATATTACCTAGGCCATACAGATAGGGAAATGGGGAAACTATTTTTTTTTCTATGTATAACTATTTATAATAATTATAACATTATATTATTTTATATTTTTAAATAATTTTAATATTTTAATTTTGAAAATTGTACTTTTTTTAATAATTAACTTAGGCTTGTTTAATACTACAGCTGGATAAAGCTACAGCTTTTTTTTTTATCCAATAATTAATGCAGTAATTTAATGCTGATTACCATTGCTATAAATGGTAAGGTTGTGGGAATAATAGCAAATCATGATAGATTTGAAAAAGTCATTGAAATATGTGAGATAATTTTGAGGGTGAACTTGACTCTTTGACTTCAGTCAAAAGTGCTGTAGGTGCTTGAGTTGTTTCAGGAGCGGGTAGTCACCACCATTCCACTACAAACAGCATTCCCAATGTTTCACTTGGGAAAAACACTGTTTTATGGAAGTAAATGGGTTGTGGCTGCGCTTTCATGTTGACGAAGTTCAAAAATTGAAACTTACAGACTAAGGGAAAGCAAATGTGTAGGTTCTGATATCCTCTTCTCTCCTTATCCCGTCATCAAGGGATCTGAACCGGTCCGAATCGGATTCCTCCCTCTCGGTGTCTCAGTACGGAGACGCCCAGCGCTGCACCTCAACTCCACTCTACAATAAGCTGTCCAGATCCAACAGTGGTTCCTCCACCAACAGCCCTCTGCTGCAGAAAAAGACCTTTGGCATGGAGAAGTGTGCCAGTCTCGGAGAGATCCACTCTCAGCCGTCTAGCCTCAACTCAGTCGACTCGATGCGCTCTCTCATCTACACCTCCGAGCAGGACGGCCCATCATCGCCTACAGGAAAGGGTGGTAACCGAATCTCTCAGATCACAGGCAAGAAGATCCTGGTGGACGAGGACAGCGGCTCCACAGGAGACGACACTGAAGGCTTCAGCACGGGCCGCAAGAAGCACACCTTTACCAAACTCTTCAAGAGGCCGAAGAAATAACAGCAGTATGGGGAAATGGCAAACATAACAGGACTAAGACTAGCACAATGGTACTTTTTAACCTTGAAGAGTTTTAGTAAGAACATGTAATTTATGTGGAATTTTTGATTTATATCGTAATTGTGTTGACCAATGGGAACAGAAACAGTCATTTGTTGGGAACAGGTATGATATCACTGTACATTTATTTATTACTACATTTTTGGTGTAAGTAAATGGGTTGTGGCTGCGCTTTCATGTTGACGAAGTTCAAAAATTGAAACTTACAGACTAAGGGAAAGCAAATGTGTAGGTTCTGATATCCTCTTCTCTCCTTATCCCGTCATCAAGGGATCTGAACCGGTCCGAATCGGATTCCTCCCTCTCGGTGTCTCAGTACGGAGACGCCCAGCGCTGCACCTCAACTCCACTCTACAATAAGCTGTCCAGATCCAACAGTGGTTCCTCCACCAACAGCCCTCTGCTGCAGAAAAAGACCTTTGGCATGGAGAAGTGTGCCAGTCTCGGAGAGATCCACTCTCAGCCGTCTAGCCTCAACTCAGTCGACTCGATGCGCTCTCTCATCTACACCTCCGAGCAGGACGGCCCATCATCGCCTACAGGAAAGGGTGGTAACCGAATCTCTCAGATCACAGGCAAGAAGATCCTGGTGGACGAGGACAGCGGCTCCACAGGAGACGACACTGAAGGCTTCAGCACGGGCCGCAAGAAGCACACCTTTACCAAACTCTTCAAGAGGCCGAAGAAATAACAGCAGTATGGGGAAATGGCAAACATAACAGGACTAAGACTAGCACAATGGTACTTTTTAACCTTGAAGAGTTTTAGTAAGAACATGTAATTTATGTGGAATTTTTGATTTATATCGTAATTGTGTTGACCAATGGGAACAGAAACAGTCATTTGTTGGGATTTATTTATTTATTACTACATTTTTGGTGTGAGAGTTTCTTCTGTTTTTATTTGTAGTTAGCGTGAGCTGGAGCTTTCACTCTCAAAGCAAACGCATGCAAAGGCTTTCAGCACATACAAATGACTTCACCTACTCTGCTGTTGGTTTACATAGGATTTGCTTGGACTTCTTTCGTTTTTCACATGCAGCAGCCCATCATTGTGTCCCCCTGCTGAAAACACGCCTCCGTATGACCCAGTCCTTGTATGCAGCAACTGTGCGCATGTATTGACAGATGTTACTTGCTTTTGGATTCTTCTTCTGTTATCAAAATCTGTTTTAAAATGTTTTAAACTTGTTACTTCCTCACAGAGGAAATAGGTGCCTTTCATTTTAAGCATTGCCAAATGTTATTGCAGTAAACTGCCTTTGTGTTAGCCACAGACAGGAAATGTACTGTAGTTCTCGTCTCTGGCTTGTAACTACATGCCTTTAACTTGATTCATGCTTTCATACCCGAGAAGTAATAAAATAAGATATAAAAAGGGAGGGTATTTTTCTAATTAAAAGTTGTGTGCTGACATAAACTGGGGAGTTTCTTTTCTTGACAAAAACAGTAAACGTTTTATATATATACTTTTTTATATATATTTTGTCATTATTACTAGCTATTTTTTTTCACATTCAATTTTAATTTTGGCAGTCTTCGTAAGGAAATTTAAAGGCCAGCTTATTAATTGTATTTTTAATTTGACTATGTATTGTCCATGTGAAAATCTAAATGAAATTAATTTTTATTTTTTTATTTTGGCACATACTCAATTCATACTGTAAATTTGGGGTCAATAAGATTATTAGATTTATTTTTAAGAAATTTTATTCAGTAATAACATCAAATTGATCAAAAGAAATGTTATATATATATATATCATATGCTTTGCCATCACAGGAAAAAATCATTTTGTTTATTTGATTTAATTTTACTGACACCAAACCTTTGAACGGTAGTGTACTTTATGAACAAATCAGTAAAAAAATTTTTTTTTCTTAAATTAGCAGAAACAATATTCCATAAACCACAAGCAGAATTTTTTTTTATATGATTTTTTCTTTTTTTTTTTTTTTTTTTACCTTTGGTACCTACTTAAAACATTTCTTTAAAAAAGTACCATTTATCTAGAACCACCACAATAAATTAATTAATTAATTAATTTTATATATGGATAAATGGTACTTTTTAAAGAAATGTTATATATATATATATATATATATATATATATATATCATATGCTTTGCCATCACAGGAAAAAATAATTTTGTTTATTTGATTTAATTTTACTGACACCAAACCTTTGAACGGTAGTGTACTTTATGAACAAATCAGTAAATTTTTTTTTTTTCTTAAATTAGCAGAAACAATATTCCATAAACCACAAGCAGAATTTAGGTTTAATTTGAGACTTTCTTGACCAAAAATAATAAGTTTGATAGTTCTCAGGGCTAAGTGTAGGTTAACTTCCTCGGCATTGCATTTTTTGAAAAACCTCTTTGTGTCATGGAGCTGTTGAAAATCTGTCCAGGAAGTAGCTATTCCATCACTGTTCACAGAAATCCACTGTGAAACATACACCAATGCAGTAGACAGACCCAACACTGCACATATTCAGTCCCTGAGTGTGTATAAATATATACCAAATTCTTGAATTGTTCATGCAGGCTAAGTTGAACTCCATAAATGCCAGAGCTTTTTTTTTTGCCAGTGCACTCTGTACACATTTCTCTGCTGTATTTAACATCTGCTGAAGGTTTGTTTGCATCAACTGTGGTGGAGCAGAACATTAAATGGCTAGGCACGCTCAGAGAAACCATCTAAATCAAGATAGCTCAATGAGTTAGTCCAAAACAAAGCCCCAACAAGGGCAGGTTTAACATTGTTACCATAGTGCTCTGAATAAACACCTGTTTCAGCGCCTCTGTCATAGGGAAGTTTGCTTTATTCAAAGTGTGCACGGCCTTGGTAGGCCATTGAAATAAGCTGAATCTGCCAATGGTAAACAAACAGCTTCAGCTGAGAACAACTTATGAAACCATTTTGATTTTATTTCCTGAATTCGTGGCACTTCTAAAAGGTTATGATAGCATATTTAAACATTCTAAAGAGGCTTTACAATGCCTCTTGTACTACATTTTATTTTATTCATGTGAACTGTTACTATATCAAATAAGTTCTGTTTTGTTAAACAATGTCTACTAAAGGCATTGACCTGATTTGATTTGACCTGGCTCTTGTAAATGAAAAACATATGTTACTAGGTCTGTTACCTTATAAAATAAGCCTATACACTCTTTGATGAAAAGACTAGATGAACAGCACGAAATGGAGTCCTTAGGACATCAAGTATTCAGCCAAAGAATCCAAATGTCTTTTGGGTTTCTCGGTCTCTGGCTTAGGCCCAGTACTATGTCAAATGAGCATAAATAAAAAAAAATTAATTGTATTAAATGTCCTATAAGACAGTCTATTAATTTCAGTCCAGCTGGACTGGTGAGGAAGTGTGTACGATTCTCCAAACCAAAGTCCTCACCAGTACTTGTCTTTTTGAGATTCAGTAACGCCTCCTAACATTTGGGGCAGTGTTACGCCTCGCTTATGGCCTCCCAGTTCATGGAGGTGAAGTCTGCTTCAGTCAGGTTAACCGTGAAGGGTCCCTCAACTCTCTGGGGTTCCACGTGCTGATCCTGAGAGGTTGTGTTTATGTTGTTAACACGCCAGGAGTTGAGGGGACGGATGGATTTCTGGAAGCGCTGAACACAAGAAACGTATGTCAGAATGAACATGTCACACACATACCTGCTGATACAATTCTAAATAAGAAAAAATAACTCGGGCACAATATATATTTATTTTAAAATAATCTAAAAATGACATTATATATTATTATACATGTAGGTATATTTATATTATATTATAAGGTAATAGTAGTATATGTGTCAAGATTCTTTTTAATGTTTTTGAAAGAAGTTGCTTATGCTCACAAAGGCTGCATTTAGTTGATTACAAATACAGTAAAGACACTAATACTGTTAAATATTATTATTATAATTTAAAATAACTGTGTTCTGTTTTTAATATGTTTTAACATGTAATTTATTGATGTGATGGCAATTTTGGGTTTCTCGGTCTCTGGCTTAGGCCCAGTACTATGTCAAATGAGCATAAATAAAAAAAAATTAATTGTATTAAATGTCCTATAAGACAGTCTATTAATTTCAGTCCAGCTGGACTGGTGAGGAAGTGTGTACGATTCTCCAAACCAAAGTCCTCACCAGTACTTGTCTTTTTGAGATTCAGTAACGCCTCCTAACATTTGGGGCAGTGTTACGCCTCGCTTATGGCCTCCCAGTTCATGGAGGTGAAGTCTGCTTCAGTCAGGTTAACCGTGAAGGGTCCCTCAACTCTCTGGGGTTCCACGTGCTGATCCTGAGAGGTTGTGTTTATGTTGTTAACACGCCAGGAGTTGAGGGGACGGATGGATTTCTGGAAGCGCTGAACACAAGAAACGTATGTCAGAATGAACATGTCACACACATACCTGCTGATACAATTCTAAATAAGAAAAAATAACTCGGGCACAATATATATTTATTTTAAAATAATCTAAAAATGACATTATATATTATTATACATGTAGGTATATTTATATTATATTATAAGGTAATAGTAGTATATGTGTCAAGATTATTTTTAATGTTTTTGAAAGAAGTTGCTTATGCTCACAAAGGCTGCATTTAGTTGATTACAAATACAGTAAAGACACTAATACTGTTAAATATTATTATTATAATTTAAAATAACTGTGTTCTGTTTTTAATATGTTTTAACATGTAATTTATTGATGTGATGGCAAAGCTGAATTTTAATTTCATTACTCCAGTCTTCAGTGTCACATGATCCTTCAGAAATCATTCTAATATACTGATTTGCTACTCAAGAAACATTTCTTATGATTATCAATGTTGGAATCAGTTGTGCTGCTTAACATTTTTATGGAAACATACATTTTTTTCAGGATTTTTAAAAACTATATATTAAGGTCAATAGAACAACATTTATTTGAAAAATAAATCTTTTGTAACATTATAAATGTCTTTACTGTCACTTTTGATTAATCTTATGCATTCTTTCTGAATAAAAGTATTAATTTCTTTGAATCTTACTGACCTCGAATGTATAAATAAATATGGTGGTTTTGAAGGGACTTACATCTTTAAGAGTGCCAGACTCTTTACTGACGGCCACTATG